GCAATAAAAGTCGGAACGGTGCGAGCTTCGAACTTTGCAGCAGTCCATGGATTTGGGGTCATTCGCAGTAGGCGACTGAATCGCTCGAGTCAAGAAGTGTGAACACGCAGTATAAACGTGAAGCTTCTTTTTAGAGTCGTCTCGGCCACATCAGCGTCAGAAGACTGGACGCGGCTCAAAAATCAGGAATCGCGATCCGAACGCTGGCCAAAAGCGAGTTACTTCGAGAGATCCCGAAGAAAAAACTATTCAAGAATCTCAAATTGGTGGCAGTTAGAATAAACACTTCTACCATACAGCTCCGTCGGCACAAAAGAAAAGCATCAGGAGACCAGAATAAAGGGCGCTATAGGCCTTGGAAAGGGCCTCCTAGCGGGGCTAAACCACCTAGATGAGTTCGTCTGCACCCCCTCACCGAAAAGCAGTTCTGACGTGATTCGTTCAAGTGAGAACATACTAACTTGGCTGCGTTCCGCTGAGGACCAAGGCACATAGCCCCGCATAAACATAGTGAAGGCACTTCCACCTGGAGGATAAGAGACATTTGTGAAATATGTTGATAGTATGAAAGAGAAATAGTATGAAAAATACTACTGTACACTACAGACCCGATAGAATGTGCTAGGAGACACTACTATAGCATATCATGGTGGAACTGCTAGTGAATTGACGATGTGCAGTCCATATCCGGGAGTGCTAGGGCGTGCCCACGAGTTAGCTGAGAGCGTGGTGGCGCTAGACAGTTGCAGATTTGTTAGAGACACAGACACTGAGTGTATAAGAGAGACGGAGCAAGAGAAGTCTATACATCCCGCTTTTTCTGAACCGAAGACTGCCCGCGGATACATAACCGCGCTCGCAGATAAGCACGTGGACACGCCCTCGCTATCGCCGGGATATGGCGAAAATATTCAGGAAACACGTGCGCAGTCATAATCCATATCACAGCAGCAGAATTGAGAAGGACGGAAATCATGCTGAAATCGAAATTCAATGGTTTATTTAGTTGGAGAAAATTTGATACTGTATCTATCGCGAACAACTCACACCAGCAACGCTATGAAGGCCAGTGAACGGAGGAAGATCACCTGCAGTTAAATGACAATTCTTCTGATCTCCGGTAATCAAAAGCGCATTTTCCTGCATACACTGGTGGAACAAACTGGAAAGACTTATTCACCCCTCTATATCGTTATAGAAACGGTTCCGATAAGGAACGGATTTCATGGCGATAAGTGTCACGTCGAGATCTGTGGTCCCAGCGAGGAGGGTCGTTTTTGGTCGGCTACAGCGAAAAAGAGTCGTCAGTGTGCCGGAAAAGAATTTTCTAGATTACTGACATCCTCTGATTTACAGTTCGCGCCTCGGGTTTTCCTTGTTCTGTGCACTTTTCCTTTCGAACATTTTCGATGAGGTAGTTTCGTAAAATTTTTCCGAAACGCTATACGTGCCGCTGTTGTGCAGGGTAGGGCCGGGTGCTGGATGGACACGGCAGGCACGACTCCCTAAACCAGGTCGTGGCTACGCGTCGGCTGCCGCTTCATGGCATGCCTGAGGTTTATTTGGGGAAAGATGGTAACTGACTGCCCGGCAAGTCCCCTCATCCCCCTGCCTTCTGCCAGCTTCGTCTAAGAGCACGTGCGGGACGGAAGCTGAGCTACTTTTGACGCCCTAGAATTTCTCACTTGTTTCGATTTTTCAATAAAACCAGTGACTTTTCATTCCTTCGACGATTTTTCTTTTATATTCTTTAGCTAGCAAATAAATCATTGTAAAAGGTGACTTACTCCATGGAGCATAGGTAGACGATCTATTTTGCGTACTTTTCACGAATATGAAGTACACTGGTACGCCTGACAGAATCATCGCCACGCCCAACTATCAATTCGAGTGGTTGGGAGAGGAACGGTAACACCAGAAACAGGCAGCAGAAAAAGAGAAATACTAGTGGAATGAATATATTCAGCTGAAAATCACCGGATCAGTCATAATAATGCAACTAGTACTTGTAAAACAGAATTTTGCAGTAGGAAATTGTGAAGGCAGAGATGAAGTCAATCTATGGGAGTGATGCCGGGGGCGGGAAATGGAGGAGGATGGATGAACCGCGGGAAGGCACTGTTCACAGTGCGCGACTCCACGCAGTCGGAGCAATCGCAAAAGAAAGCTCTGATAATCTTGGAGAGAGGGCATTTAGACGGTTCTTTGTGCAAAACTGGGATTACCATAAAGAATGTGTCTATCCCCCCGTGGGTCCTAGTATTCACCATATGTGGTGTGAACGGGTCCGAAACTGCGGTAACGTGCCTTTTTTCAGTTAAAAGTGCAGGTGAACAGGCTGAAAAGTGCAAGTGAACAGGCTGCACAGCATCAAGACGTGGGAGGGGGCGTCTCCTCACCTCACCCGCGCTGCCGCACCGCCGACCACACGCCTAACCACAGCCAAAAGCTCAGCTTTGATTGCGCATTTTGGCTTCTGGTTATTCTCCTCCACTGAGTAGGTGGAGTGTGGAGACGGCACTCAACACCCCTACCTTACAGCCTTCTCCCCGAGCGCTTTCGAGCGGAGGATGTGGTGCGCCACTGCAGCTGCGGACCCGTTCACTTCGCACATAGCAAGTGCCGTCCTCGAAGGTACGGATAGGCCCGCTCATACCTCGGTACAATCTCTGCCTCCTAGCAAGACTATGCATACCTTGATTGGTGTCTTCGCCGCTGGTTGTGAGAAACGCATTTTCACCAGGCCGGCTACCGATATCGCTACAACGAGACTCTCCGAAAACGCACAATAATTTATTAACGTCAGCACATCTCCGGCGAAAAGCATCACAATTGAGGCAACTAAATCTGGTATAATATGCTGATTCAACAAGCATGAACAATATGGAAATAAACCTCCAAGGAAGAGCAGCGACGGTAGAGGTGTGAGGTAGTCGATAGAGATCATCGACAACATTTCTGGCAGTTGACCTTCTCTGGAAGAAGAAGAAATGAAATATTAAGTCAAATATTGCAAGCCTTCGAGAGAACACGGAAAGAGCAATGCCGATAGGCCACTCACCGTGCACCAGCAAAAAACATTCGTGACGAAGTGAACAGAATGCCGTTCAGACTTCCAAAGCATGAGCAGGCGACAAAAAATGGCATCAGAGGAGCAAACGGTCCCATCACCTTCCCAGCGAACGTTACCGCAACCGCATCCGACTCGAGGATCTGAAGTGTTGCGTAGTCAAAGTAGGTGACCTTATTACTTCATGAAATATAGATTCAACGACAAACCTGCAAGTCCGGCGCAGTTGGCTTGGTGGCGGACACCCAACATGACTGCTACACCACGGAGCTTGTACAACCACCTTGTGAAAACATGTAATTTCCATTGCAAGCATGTAGTGTGTGATATTATTAAGCTGGTGGCCAAGATTGTTAAATATTCTTTATTAGCGGTTGACGTTTCGGCGTCGTCGCCTTCTTCGGAACCTGGAAAGCCGAAAAGCATTCAGGAAACCCTTCGTCCAAACACTATTTCAACTTACAAGAAAACTCCAAAAGGGATGTAAACTACTAATCAACGAAACATAGGCACCCCACTATAAATGACCGTTAGTTTAGTCGAACCAGAGCAGGTCCCCGGCTCACCCCAAGCTGGTAATAATGCGGTTTAAATAGGGTAACCTAGGGACCACTTGCTCAAGGGGCCTCCAAAGGGTCGATCAAGTAGATCAAACAACTCTGAAGGCCACCATCGAGTACCTGCGCTGCTGACCCGCACTTAACCCCTTCTATCGATTACTGTATAAGCCCCCGACCTCACCGCCAGGACCCCGCGGGGGATTGACCGCGTAGGTCAAAACCCACAGAGGTCCGCGAAGGGTGCGAGCTCTGCAGTGACCGCCACACACTCTTCCCTCCTGTTGATCTTAGGGGTCTTGGACGTGATCCAAAAGGCCTCCAACGTTCGACGCGCCGCAATATCCGGTTCACGTGATAGTATCGTGACTGCCACCTCAAAACATGTGTCCCCGTGGTACCGTACCCTGTGCTCTCCCAGAGGAGAGGCAACTTTGGACTTTCGCATGCCATCCAGGTGTTCCTTTATGCGAATGCACAGAGGCCTTCCTGTTTCTCCAATATATTCCTCCTTGCACTGCTGACACGATATTAGATACACCACCCCCGATGTCATGCAGTCCCCTTCCTTTCCAAATGGACATATGACACAGGAAGTCGTTGTGCAGAGACGGTCATAAATTCGATTTCTAACCAATTGCTTTCTTAGGTTTGTGGGTGGAATATCCACTACCCTCATCGCATCCTTGGAGACCGGCCCTTCTTGCACAAACGCGAATAGCCGCAGTGAAATCGTCTGATATAAATGGGACGCAGAATGAAACCTTCGTACGTTCCCTTCTTCGAGACGATCCAGTGCGACCTCCCTCTGTGCTCGCCTGGCATTTATTCCTACTGTTTTATATCCATTCTCCTGTGCTATACGAGATGCCAATCTTACCGATTCGGCCCTATCTTCGCTTCGAGATGAAACTCTCGATGCTGTGTGCAAACATATTTCCTGCACGATGGCTTTCCTCAAATTGGACTCTCTTATAACCAGATGTAAACCCCCAAAGAACAGCCGCTATCCACCTGCACGATCACGCGAATGTGTTCTCAAATGGCACGCCTATAACTTTCTACAAACACTACCTCTGATCCACGGAAAGACAGGCAAAAGTACGCCATATTTACAAGTATATATATCAGGGTTACCACTGGCAATGATATGTAGATTGCTCGAGGTAAATTTCTGAAAATTAATGTCTTAGCGTTTCGAATAGTTGTACCAGACTGAATGGACAATTCCTAACCTGTAGGGCTCCTTGAGCTCTTCTGTGACGAAATTCAAATAGCTATAACCGGAGAACGAAAAAACGCCCGAGTAGAAAGCCAAAGTCAGTGAGGAAACTTTAGTTTGGCTTCCACTGAGCACGTCAGGCATTTGAAAGTATTCAGTATTACCTGAGAATGTAATGAAATTAAAGCCCCTAACGATACTTCACTTTATAAGCAAGGCCGCGTTCAAAGTCCACGACTCGACGATTCTGTCGCGCGATTGCGACCGAACGCGCTCCACCGCCAACTGTTGGACCTGCTGCAAGACGTTCTATCCTCAATGGGAACGCTGTTACAGTGGTCTAACGACTAGCTCAGCCACAGTCGTCCGATTCTCAAGTCTTGCGGCCCTAATCGTGAAGTATGAACGCAGCCAATCGAACTCTATTCTTACTGCATGACCTACCTAGTGCGAGCCAGGCCACGCCAGCTACAATGATGCAAACCAAAGCGGCCACTTTTGTAATGGTAAAAGTGTCGTTAAATCGAGTGGCCATTCGCACATTGTAGCAGTTCACGAACGTCAGAAGTGCTGAAAAATGAAGTGATCAGGTCTTCGAAGGCATCCTTTGAGGGCTCTCCCTAGCATAGTTCGGCTTAGTAGGGGCATTTTAGCGGTTCTTCTCGTTCAATGTTTATGTCTCCTGTGGAGACCCTGTCGGCTCTTGTAAAACTATGCAGTAGCACGAGCTTCATTGAACTTGATAGAAGTCTAGAGGTCTCATCAACGCGAGACATGTAAAATAGCAGGTAGCTGGAAGTATGTCCCCCCAGGCCATGCAGTGCCCTCTCTCCCGAGTGCTTCTTCTGCATCCCATTAAGAGCCTGTAAAATTAGTGATCTGTGAACGTCAGGTTCTTATTTGTTGCCGAAACTAAAACTGGGTATGCCGTCAGCAGCTCCGCTTGAATCAATACCCTTATGTTTGACCAGTGACGTCAAAGATAAATAATTTAATCCACTTTGAATATCTCTGGTGGGAAACGAGCGCTGTGGCAACTGGTTAGAGCACAACGCATGCACAGTAAAACTATGAGATTTTC